CCCTCCGAATCCCTGGCCCGTAACCATCTGTAGGAACCTGTTTATCTTCTGCCTTAAACTTGACTGATCTCCTTCTGTGGAGCATCTCGCATGCGTGTTAAAAGCAAACTCCAGCCTCGGATCTCGATAGGTACGTTTAAAGAGTATAGTATTATATTATATATATATACACATTGTGTATAGCAGTTGTTATTTTTTAATCTGAGCACTTTCATTTTAAAAGCAGCTTTGCATTTCACAGGAAATATTCTGTCCTTTTTAAGTTTCTCTCCTACACTGTCCTACTTCTTCCCAGCAGCTCTCAAATGTATCTGTTATTTTTAATGCTGGGCTTACCCCTTGCCTTCTCTCTCTTGTGGGCCAACCCATATTATATCTCCATTTCATTCCCCCTCAAAACGTTTCCTTCTGAGAGATCTTTTGATGATAAGGGACAGGAATGGAGAATTTGCATCAGTTAAAGCAATTTAAATACTGTCAAACTGGCTTAACAGCCTTTGGGGAGCATCATGATAGAAGTTATTCTCAAAGCAAATTACAGTTTATTGGGAGAATTTGTCCCTTCTAATTAATTCATATGGAAAATTAAACCTCTTCAGAGGGAATGCCCAACACAGCTCCTGCTAAACAACAAAACAAGGCAAAAATCATTGCAAACAGTATCCACTGCTTAGATTTAAAAAGTAATTCAGACTATGGAGGAAGTCCAGTCTTCCCTGTAACTCAATTGATGATGACACAAAGCCTTGAGATCTGGAGGTTAACCGAGACAAATCTACTCTTTGCAACTAGCATCAATTTAGTAACACGATACTTACAGTTGAACACTCAAACTTTAAATGTATTTAAATATTGCTCCATTTACTGTAAGAACTGGTAAGGGGGACCGGGGACTTGAGGCAAAGCAATTTGGATGCAGCAGAAGTCTAAGAACCATCCAGGCACTGAAGCACAGGTCATCAGAAGTTCTTAGGTGCCAGCCTTTTAGGTGCCAGCTCACCGCTTGAATACCCCAGCTTTCTCAGAGCTGCCACAGATCTCACAGGCGCTGCCAAGTTTCCTGTAGGCAGCATTTATGAAACCGCCCACGTGCTTTAACCATTTGACAGCAAACAAGCTGCACAGAGCCCTCCCTCAAACCACTGCCTGTAACACCTGAAAGGGATCTGCTCTGCAGAGGACTCCCAGTGAGACCCAGTCCCTTAGGAGTCCTCCCAGTAATTTCTGGTGTTGAGGGCAGAAGTGTGAGTGGGCATGAGTCTGCATCCAGGTGTCCCACATTACCAAGCAAGCTTTAAGCACCAGACTGTCTGGGGCCTGTTGCAATCACTCCTTAGAAATCATCCCCTTTTATCAGTAATTAAAGTCCTTCCTCCATCTTCCAGATCTCATACAAGCCCCCTTGCTAAGGGAGATGGTGGGAGGGAGAAATACCAGACAGCCAATTCTTGGTACTGTTTCTTTCAAAACTTTTTGTACTTTGTATGCAAAACCATAGGGAGGCCAGAAAAAATCATTTTAAAATGGAGAAAGGAGAACTACAGACTGCTAGAAAGACCAAACAAAATCGAAGTCCAAACCAATCCACTCCTGTCACAACAGTCCTGCAGACAATTCCAGACAAGCTATCCTGCCTGTCCCCAACAGGGCATGCCGTTCCTCCCTTAAAGCAGGATATCCCTCCCGTTCCTCCCTGCCAGGCAGTTGTTTCTGCCCCCGACACATTTGGGTGATCCCTTCTCTCTCAGCAAAGCCCCCTGTTCCTGCTGGAGAAGCAAAGCGGTACCCCTCCACGGGCTCTGGGGAGGTGGCACCCACAAAGGAGGAGGTGCCAGAGGCATTCAGGCAGTGTACTCATCATCTTCAGTCCCATTTCAAGGCCTGTTCTGCACCAGGCCTTTATAAAAAAACAGGATAACCAGTCAAGGCCTTTGTCCTAAAAGAGCAACATTTCAAGGTTATTTTTCTCTCCCTTCCTACAACACATGCAAAGGATGGGGTAAATAGAAAGGACTGATTTGGAGCAGGCAGAATGTTAAAGAAAACAGAGCGAGGGTCTCTTCTGGGGAGGAACCAGACACACCAGCTGTACAGTGTCTCTGGGGTGGGGTGCTTGGCCTCCATGCCATTTCTTCTCTGTCCTGTTGCACATACCTGGGAAAAACTCTGCATGCTCAGAGTCTTTCTGGGCTCTTTGGAAGTCCTCCTAGGCAGCCATCCTTCACACAGAATAGGAGAGCAGGAATCCTGCGAGTCAGATTGTGCTAACTTTGTCCTTGTACCTTGAGCAGTCCTCAGTGTTGCCCTCTGTGAAAGGGACATACGAACACTGTCCTCAGACAGTGGGCTTTAGTTACCATTTCCAAAATAATTTGTGTTTCTCTACTAAAAAGAAAAAAGAGCAAAGAATACTTATCAGCATCATCTTCCAGAGAATCCCAAGAAAACGGAATTAAGGACATGCTCTTTGCTTTCTTTTACCTGCCATGTGTTCTGTTCTTGGCTTTTAGCTGAACATGTTCTCTGCCAGGAAGTTGTCAGGAGTTTGCAGAGCCACCAGATCCCATCATTTCAGATCCCATTCTGTATCCAGGACCTCTCCAAACTTGGCTTTCGTGCCAGCCTGTCGTCCCCCAGGTCCCATGGAAGTAGAGGAGCTGCAGCGCTTTGTTTCCAACTCCAAGAGGCTGTTTGTAATGACTGGAGCTGGAATCTCGACTGAATCGGGCATCCCAGATTACCGCTCTGAAGGTGTTGGGCTCTACGCCAGGACAGACAGACGGCCCATCCAGCACGCTGAGTTCGTTCGTAGTGCCAGTGCCCGGCAGCGGTACTGGGCAAGGAACTTTGTGGGCTGGCCCCAGTTCTCCTCCCACCAGCCAAACACAGCACACCTGGTACTAAGAGACTGGGAGAAGCTGGGGAAGCTGCACTGGCTGGTGACCCAGAACGTGGATGCCCTTCACACCAAAGCCGGGAGCCAGCGCATGACAGAACTGCACGGCTGCACGCACAGGTACTCTCTGTTGGCAGAGGGAGGATGGCTAATCCTCCGGTCTCTCGTTCAGGGAGACTGACAAGCAGGTGCAGTGTTAGCTGCTGAGAAAGGAGGCAAAATGTCGATGCTATGTTCCTGGAGATGACATGCTCAAAGGTGGTGTTGGGCTGGGGTGGAGAAAAAGATCACAAAACAGTGCTGTTCACAGCACAGTATTTAAGAAGCATGAACACCACTCCATTTTTTTGGAGCGTTATTTGGATCATTTCCCTTGGAGCCTGCATCAGTCAGAATGCCCCCTTTCCTTGCTACAGCGAATGTCCCCTTAGTGAAGAGGACAAGGGGATCCTGAGGATGCAAGGATTATCCAGGGCTAAGCAGAGTGGATAGTGCCAGAAATGCACAGGGTGAGTGGACTGGAGAGGGACCACCACAGTCTGGCTGTGATCACCCAAAGTTTGCAGATGAAAAAGCACAGCCTGAAGTGGGAGCGGGGATGCACGGTAGGGTTCAAAGCGCTTCCTCTAGAGCATTCCTACAAAGCAACTATTGGAGGTAGAAAGACAGCTCCTTGACCTGTACTGTTGGGTAAATAAATGTGGATAATGACAACAGACCTTCCAGGCCTTCTAAGGAACAAGTTACAGACTCCAGATCTTCAGCTGACATGAAACTCTCCATGAAGACTTTGCTCTGAATTTCAGGGTTTTCTGCCTGGCCTGTGGAGACCAAATCTTGCGCTCTGAGCTTCAGGAGCACTTTGAAGCTCTGAATCCTACCTGGAAAGCTGAAGCATTCGGTGTGGCTCCGGATGGGGATGTTTTCCTGACGGATGAACAGGTGCGTAATTTCCAAGTCCCAGACTGCCGTAAATGTGGTGGAATCCTGAAGCCCGACGTGACATTCTTTGGAGACACGGTGAGCCAGGAAAAAGTCAATTTTGTGCACCAACGCCTGGCAGAATCAGATTCCATGCTGGTGGCAGGATCCTCTATGCAGGTAAGTAGGTCTTCCTCCCACACTGCATTCCTATTTCTGTGCTACTCTGCCTGCAACAATCTTTGGTCCCACAGTTTAGATCTACTAATTGCTTGTGGATAAAAACAGCCTCTCCAGAGTTTCTTTGTATTTTATTTTTGGTGTGGTTGGAATCTGGCTTCACAGTTGGCCTGTTTGGGCTTCCCTTCTATTGCCAGTCTACTTCATGCTGCTATAAATAACTCCATCCACGCATTCAGACCTTTCTCTGCTGCCTCCTCCATCAGTACATTGTAGGTTCACAGTTGCCCATAAAGCCAAGACACCTGATACAATTCAGTCCTGCAGAGATCACCACCCCACGTTTTTTTGCTTGAATTTTTTGGCCTTTGGCAGCTTTCTAGGCCTCATGGCACACTGTGTGAAACACCAGATTTTTAGGACCTCTAATTCCTAATTAAATTCTATAGAAGAGAGCAGAAATATCTCTGGTTGCTGCTTAGGATTGTCCTTTGTATCACAATGTGTTTTCTCCATTAGCCTCTTATCTATAAGGTAAGGTAGTTTAGAAGTCCCTGTCATTTAACCCGTGGAAGCTTTTGGAATAGAGTTTGTATAAGAGAATTTTTTCCAGGAACAAGTTCTATTACATTAAAAAAACCCTAACACCTCCCAGAACGAGATAAAACTAAGGCTGCCTGATTGTGATTCTCTTGGCTTCAGGATACTGGAGACAAATTCCTTGAGCTTGCACTTCTTAAGCTTATAATCCTTTGTATAGGAATGATTGAAATGCCTTAGGTTCATTCTTGTACTACCTAAGTTGGACCACGTGAGAACCATCAAAGTAGAAGCATTTAAGCACCTATGATAACTAATAAAAACTGCTGCAGAGATTTGCTAAAAGACAAGGACATTTCCCTTCAATGTCCTATAAAGTTTCAGTTTCTGTAAAACTGCAAATCCTTCACTGACAGAGGTTAAAAGCTGTTCTTTTCTGTGCATTCCTGAATGAAGAAATTTCCTACCCGAATTAAGTGTAGTTGACTAACACAGCATGTACATACAACCCCTTCTGCCACTGCCAACAGCAACTATTTTACTTTCCTTACTCCTTTCTGTCGCTTTTCTTTTGCCTAAGCTGCCAGTAATTTTGTCTTCTGGTATTTCTGCAGGTATACTCTGGTTACAGGTTTGCTCTCGCCGCCCAGGAGAAGCGGCTGCCAATTGCAATCCTTAACATTGGGCCCACAAGGGTAGATCACTTTGCATCCTTAAAACTGAATTCCCGCTGTGGAGAGCTGCTGCCTTTGATTGTTGCACATGACCCAAAAAGCTAAGCTTGAGTAGCTATCGGGCATAAAAGTATTTCTACAAGGTGAGTACCTTCCCTGGTCAGTCACCTTACAGGGTAAGAAGTTGGGTTCCCATCAGATGCTGAGACTGAGACGTGCTGACTGAAAATACGTTCCCACAATGTGCACCAAAACGTGGCTGTAAATTTTCATCTGTAACTGGTATACCCTGATGGGCCATGATGCGGTTTCCCATGATCATAAACAAAAAGCATACTAAGTGCTAACACTCCCAGAAAATTGGGCAAGAGTGGCCAGAAGACTCAGCAGTGTTGAGTTCCAATCCATTTGTCACAATCGGAAAGCTACAGGGGATCATCTGCAGATTCAGAGAACCTAATCAGCTCTGTTGCCTTTGCAACTGACAATTCAGAGTCCTGGGCCTGGTTGAATTGATCCAGCTAATCCTAATCAAAACACTGCTCTTTAAAGTCATCGATTCCATCTATGAAGCAGCTTTTTCCCTCCACTCCTGCAGGACTCATCATCTCAAAAGGTGAAAACCTCAATCTAAGAGGCAGCTGTGAGATCCAATGCATAGCCCCTGATGACACCAGGAGAGGGCAGCAAGCCTCACACATGTCAACCTGACCAGTTTTCTCCATTGAAACCATCTCCACTTACCAGGAAACAGGAGCATGATGAAAAAAGTACTTTTCTGCCTTACCTTGCCATTGTAAACAGTGCCTTTTCTTTTCATTCACTGTGACAGAATAATCAGACTACCATATCTGAGAACAAAATACCTTTCTTATAGTTGTCCCCAGAGAAGAATGAGAGACAGCGATTTTGACCGAGTAACTTGAGGCTATAGCACAGGAGGGCGATGTGGAAAACCACGGTATCTGCTGGAGGATCCAATACCCACCAGCCGTCAGCTGTGGAGTGTGCAAGGAGGTAAGGGAGGCAAGAGGAACTGCAGTTGTCATTTAAAAACAAAAAGGTTCAAAAAAGAAGCTGAACAAGAATACTGCTCTTGTAAGAGGCTATTTGAAAGCACAGATTGACGTCTTCTAGCAAGGATGGGAAGTCAGTATTTCTCTCAACTGTCAGTTGACAAGCTAAACTGCTTACAGTGTGAACCCTTTAAAAATTATATATTGTTGAGATGCCAGAGGAGTTACTTTAAGCTAATCTGACCAGCACTGCTTTCAGCGTGGCTGCTACATTTTCCAGAATGCATTTTTTTAAGATGTTATTTAATTAATGAATAGCGAAGTAGTGAATTAAAATTGTTTACAAGACTGATACTATTTGCTTTGTAATTTTCTCTCCCTCCTATGATTTATTTAAGCACAGTCTCAATAGCCAGTTGAGATTCATTTTTTCCATTGCAAAAATGCGGGATGTAATTACTAACAGCTGATGAATTAAGAGAGAAATACAATTAAATCTGTACAATAAGTCTCCCTCAGGAGGTAATCTTAAGCTATTAATAGATGTAATTTTCCACACTCCTAACAGGAGATTCAGTACTACTGGGTAACCATTTTTTGTTGATCCTTAGGGTGGTAACATAAGACATATTAAACCATTTATGGAATAGAAGACAGAATCTTGCCCAGAGTAGAACACTAAATTTTTGACCCGACCTTCTGCATGAATCTACCGCTCCCCTTCTGGCTATGAGGGAGATTAATTGTTGGGGTCTTCCAAATGCCCCAGTCCTACTCTCCACATAACATCTCCTGTATTAACATTTTGACCAGAACTGTAACAAGCAGTTGGAAGCAACGATGCCAGAGTCATCTGCTAAAGGGTCAAGTAGCAAAGCAAGGACAACTGACCACGTGATGAAAGTTCTTTTTTGCTTTGTTGTTGATTCAAATCCATGCTAGGCAGGAGTAAGTAAAGCACAGAATCTAAGGGATACTTAGGCACCCAATTTCTGCAGAAGGTAGAGGGAATTAAGATACTTAACGTGTTTCAAGATTTGGCTATTAGGAGGAGGAGGAGAGACGGCTCTCAGAGGAGAGATGGCTTCACTTAGAAGCCAAGCAAGGTAAGTTCAGGACCCCTGCCTGCATTCTGCTCTCATTTCATGGAGGTCCCACTTTCCAGCGAGTCAGGTATCTGCTGTTTGGTAGTGAAGAAAGCTCACAAATGTCACTCCATCTTTAGCACAGTACAGCTGTCCTGCTAACCAAAGCTTTTGCAGAAATCATTGCTAAGGCATAGCAGAGTCTCCACACACAGCCAAGGAGCTTGCACAGAGTGTTTATTTGCATAGGTTTTTCCATGTAAGACGAGACATTTATGCCTCCTTAGGAGCCTAACTAAGGCTGCATGTCTCATTATCTGTGTCATCTTCTGCACCACCTTGAAACTTGCATGACATAGATGTGTTAAAAACAGAGGCTGCAGGTTTAGTGCCAGTAGAGCCAGCATTTTGAGAAGGTGTGGGAGCATTGCCAAAAAGTCTAAAACAAGAAAACATTTCCAGTGAGGACTTGGCATTAGCAATGTGACAGGTAACTAAACCTCCCACATCTATCCCTGCCTCTTCTCCAGTTCAGCAGCTGAGCCTGTGGGAGAGGAGTCAGAGTGTCTCTTCAGCACCACTGATAAATGAGTCATGTTACCCTGACCCTTCACTGATTACACTACATACTTTTAAGTCACTAGGACAATGTAAATGAACATATATTCTGTGCACAGTTTATTACTATATGTTAATGAGCATATATACAACAAGTATACGAGGCTGAGACGAAGGAGTTCCTTTTTTTTTTTTCTGCTAAGCTGATCCAGCACTACTAAAATTGACTTCTCCTAGAGCAGGATCAGAGCACTTCACCTCTTAACATGTTACCCAAGACACCATTGAGCAGTAAGTTTGCTCAACTGAGAAATACCAGAGAAAGCCTAAAGTTCCTACACCAAAAGCCAGATCTGCACCACTCTAATGCTGATTGACACCTTCCCCTGTCACTCCCTGGGGACTACTTGTGTGGGGAGATGCAGTGCAGAGAGAGAACAGCTATCAGAAGATAACTGTGTCATTGCAGGTAACTAGCAAAGACCTATCCCGAGAAGTTCGTGTTTCTCAGCTTACTAATGTGGTTACCAGCCTGGTGGGAGTTACAGAAACCTCCAGGGATGAGCGCTGTAAGATACGAATTAGCCATGCTGGGAAAACAACAAACTCAGTAAAAGAACCGACCTAGTGTTCAGCTTTATTCTCTCAGCCTATGCAGAATTTGCAAGGGAGGAGTGTTTTAAAAGGGGGAGAAATATTGTTCCTAAAAGACTAAACAAAAGGGCGGTCATCTTTGTGTTACTGGCTGAAACTAACAGAAAAAGAGTGTTACAGAGCCTGAGCAGTGTTCTCTTCCCCCATAACCAGGAAGGAAATGCAGATCCTTTCTATCTACCTTGTCTGCTTTAAGCCAGCCTTATCATCCACATGATTCAATCCTCTCCTACCTTTTCTGGCTCACTGTTGTTAGACCAGTCCACCAGTATTTTAGATCAGGGCTTGAAGTCGTAGCTGTGTCCATCTATGGGCGGCAAAAGTACACATCAGACAACAGCACAAGGATGGTTTTTTTACCATGAAATTAACTGAATCAAGAGCTTATGCTCTTCCCTTTTTTTAACAGCTGTTCCTACTAGGACAAGCTCCTGAGGTTTGGATAGAGGAGCTGAGAGTGCCTTATAATGACTTTTTCTGCCACTCCTCTGAAAGCGGGGTTGGAGTTACCCAAAGCAAATAAAAGGTAGTTCCTATCTGGCAAATCTTGTCTTTGTTTCTGGGCAAATTCTCAGAGCAAACTTTGTAATCGAGTCCTGCAGCCTGAGAAAGATATTTCACATACTGTGCTCCAGTGAGGGCAGCACAGACTGCAGATGGCCCAGAGGACTTGTGCCTGGTGGGTATGGTGTAAGTGCAGCCTCCCACATCTTACAGTCAGATTGCTCTTACTGACAAACCTGCTTATTCGCGACTTCTGGAAAAGGACCGAAGACCCTGGGCATGGTGAACTTGGGAGGTTCAGGAATCTTGGAGTGACGGTGACTAGATCTACCTTCTAGAGTGCGCTTCTTCCCCCGTGACTGCCTCGGATGTCGCCCTTTCCCAGTCTTTGCAGCTGTGAGGAAGGAAAAAAAAAAAAAAAGTATTTCAAACCAAGTTCAAACCAGTAAGTGCCAACTTACTGGTTTCCTCAGTCTATTCATTCAAAACCTGGGGCTTGGGCAGGACAGATGGAGTCTTCCTCTCGCATAACCTGTCCTAGGGCAGCCCCAGATAAACAGCAACTGAAAGCAACAGTCCTAGGAGGCTGTCTAGAGTCAATGGGAAAGGAATGAGGAGGGTCTCAGCCAAATGCCTGAAGTCAGAGTTTCTTATCACTACACCCAGCCATTCTCTATAGTGTCTCAGTGCAGGGTTTTTGAGATCTGAATTAACTTGGCCTTAGCAATTGTGTTTTTAAATTACAGAAAATAATGAGTGGTGAGAGAGTAAATTTACGATAGAGGACTGCCTCTCCAGTCCTACTGGTATGGCCATTTTCAGCACTGATAGATACTGTCAAAATATCTTTCAGATGCCAGATTCCTCCTGGCTGATGCTTTCTTTCTGTAGGGACAGGAAATTCTGGTACATGGGCTGTTAAACAGCTTCGATTTGTTTGGTTGGAGCCCTAAAAAAGAGGCGGATGATGCGTTTCAAATCCACAAAGGAGCTCATTAATCCTTTTCCTCCTATTGTATCGGTGAGGTCTTCTAACTGCAAGGGTCCCCAGCAGGGGCTGCACAGCTGAGTGCTCTGTCACTTACGCACCCAAGTCCTGACAGATGCAGGAAATCATGCAGGGGACACAGATGGACAGTAAGAAATTCATACCCACTCACCCTGATAGGACAATTAGGCAAGTAGGTAACAATTACGAAGGCTAAAAATAAGAGGCGGCGGGGAAGGAAAAAGCATTTTGTGTTAGAGGGCCTCATGATATAGAGCTGTGACTTTTACACACTACAGGCAAGCGGTTTTGAGTGAATGACCCAAGTGCTGCTTACCCTTGCCAAGACCCAGACAACATATGCAAATCAGAAATGGTGCCTTTTTGCTAATAAAAGAGGATTTCTGGGACATTCTGCTATTCCTTTATCAGAAGATTCTTGCAATAAAAGAAATGTATAGAAAGATTTAGACACATGCTGTACCCAGATTTCCAGTGTGATCCCACATCTTCACATTGGCAAGGGCCAAGGAGAAGAAAATCCAACTGGACTCTGTAATACTAAAGACAATATCTGCAACAACTCAATCTGTGCCCCAGAGTTCATAGTCTGACACAAATCGCTGGTGGTGGGAGGGCGGCAGTGCTTGGCTCCTCACTCAAGCAGGTGGCATATGACAAAAATCAGATTATGACCCTCCCCTATTTAGCACTTGGCATGACAGAACTTAATTGGGTTTAACAATCGACTCCTGTGCTGGGCACAGAACTGACCATGGCTGCAGCGAGGCTCCTCGTCTCTCTGTGCACCTACTATTACTGCAAAAAAGAAGCTGTGCTCGCAGGTAAGGAAAGCTGGAGGATCCTCAGGAAGTTAAGGCTATCACACAAGTGGGATTAAGGTTGCCTTCTCACTAAGATGACTCCCTTTGTTGCTTGGGGAAAACAGCACTGGAGTCGAGACAAGAAGCAAATGCTTTTTGATGCGTTTTCACAGCTTAGCATGAAGGGGAATAATAACCTCCATTTATTG